CCAACTGAGCTACCCAGGTGCCCCATCTGTAGCGGTATTTTTCTAGATATGTCTCCTGAGGCAAGGGGAATAAAAGCAAAATAAACTACTGGCACTACATCATAATACAAAGCTTCTGCACAGCAAATGAAACAAAACTAAAAGACAACCTGCTAAACAGGAAGATATAAAAGTATGTAAAATATGCTTAACATCACTCATCATCCGGGAAATGCAAATCAAAACTCTAACGAGGTACTACTTCACACCTGTCAGAATGGCTAAAATTAAAAGCATAAGAAACAATAAGTGTTGACAAGGATGTGGAGAAAAAGGAACCCTCTTGCTGCTGGTGGGAATGCAAACTGGTGCAGCCACGGTGGAAAATAGTACGGAGGTTCCTCAAAAAGTTAAAAATAGAAATACTCTATGATCCAGTAATTGCATTACTGCGTATTTATCCAAAGAATACAAAAGCACTGATTCGAAAGGATATTTGCACCCCCATGTCTGGTTATTATTTATAATAATATATGGAAGCAGCCTAAGTATCCATCAATACATGAATGGATACAGAAGATGTGGTATATACACAACGGAATAATGTTCAGCCATAAAAAAGAATGAAATCTTGGGCCATCTGGGTGGCTCAATTTGTTAAGCGTCCGATTCTTGGTTTGGCTCAGATTGTCATATCACGGTTCAGTTTGTGAGATGGAGCCCCAGGTCAGGCTCTGTGCTGACAGTGCAGAGCTTGCTTGGGATTCTCTCTCTTTCACTGCTCCTCCCCTACTTGTGCGCATGCTCTCTCTCTCTCTCAAAATAAATAAATGAAACATTAAAAAAAGAATGGAATCTTGCCATTTGCAACAACATGGATGGGTCTAGAGAGTGTAATACTAAGTGAAATAAGTCAGAAAGACAAATACCTTATGATTTCACCTATATGTGGGATTTAATAAACAAAAAAAATAAATAAAAGGGGAATAAAGGAGAGACAAACGAAGAGGCCACCCCCCCCCTGCTTTTTTTTAAAGATTCTCTTAGCTATAGAGAACAAACTGGTGGTTACCAGAGGGGAGGTGGGTCAGAGGATGGGTGAAGCAGGTAAGGGGATTACGAGTACACTTATCGTGATGAGCACTGAGTAATGTACAGAACTGTCGAATCACTATATTGTCCACCTGAAACTAATATAACGCTGTATGTTAAGTACACTGGAATTAAAATAAACTAAAAAAAACATTCTGCATGATAAAAATGGCATTTCAAATCAGTTTAGAAAGGATGGATTTCAACCTTTTATGGAATAAATGGTGCTGGAATAGATTATATAGGGGGAAAAAAATCAATTCGGATCCCTACCTAATGCCATATTCAAAATAAATTCCAGATATTTCACAGTATTTAAAATAAAAAAATGAGACCATAGAAGAACTTCCATATGGATATTTATCTGATTTGGGGCCTATGCAAATGTAAAGGCAAAAGAGAAATAATTAAGGAAATAAAAATGAAAGTAACAGAAATAAAATAAAAATAAACTGAAAAAAAAACACCTATTTGCAACGTATACAATTAAAGGGGTTATACCTTTAATATAGGATACTTTCTCAGCAGCTCTGGTGAGAGTCTTAATGGGACAATAGTTGAAACAGATGATCCCCATTACCTTTATTGATTAACTATGAACTATCTGCTTAGTTCCCCCGCCCCCATCTAGCTTTGAGGAATAGAAGGCGGCCGCATGAATATGCAATAAGATCTCAGACATAACAGCACCTCAGAAAAGGTGCCCAGGTGCCAATATAATTCCTATTTTTAATTATTTTTGCTGAAATAGGAAGGCAGAAAAAAGATGTGGGAGATCTGGTTCCCTGAAGATTGCTATCCATGGGTGGAAGGTCAGGTGAGAGGTGGTTATCACTCAAAGAGCTCCTCAATCCCTGTGTGGGCCTGCCTTTAGAGATTGTACAACCTTTTATATTAAGATGTGGGGGGCTGGGGGAGGGCCAAGGAACCACTGTGAGAAAAAGAAAGGAAAAGAAAAGAGGTAAAGGAAGGCGCTCATGGAGAGGCCTTTTCCAGTCTTAGGCAATTCTATCTGCACTTCAAAGAAAAGGAAGCCGCCTGTGAAAAGCTTTACTTTGAACTAAACCATGAGATTCCATGAGACCAAAAACTCATTTAGTGCTATAGAAAAAGGAGGAGCATAAAATAAAGTAATACTAGTGCTTGAGTAGTCAGTCCCCTTAGTGTTGGGGCAGGGTAGAGTCCAGAAAAAAGGAGATGTCTACAGGGTGCAAGGTCTCTGTCCAATCTGCCTTGGTGACCCAGAAATTAAACTTCTGCCATGCACGCATGGGTTATCTCTAACTCGCACACCACCGTCCTACAGGACACTGCTTCATATCCTTGTGCTGCCTGGCCATCTCTCACCAGTTACTGTACTGTATCAAGCGCCACACCCAACGGTTCTCCATCTCAGAAGACACAAAAACTCCTCTGCTTCAGGCACAAACAAAATCCAGATTGCTCTTAGAAGAGCTGTCTGCTATGGTTTTATTTAAAACATACTGTGGAATCTGGGATGTATTTCTTTTTCCCTGGTAGTGGTGTTTCCAAATAGCACACTGTTCTGCTACCATCTGGTTCTTCCTGATAATAAACTCTTCCTGATAATCAACTTGGTCTATCGGCTGACCCCATAAGGTTGCCATCACAGAAGTGACAAACTCTGGCAAGACAACACGGTCTGAAAGAACGATGAAAAGAGAATCCCTAAAAGACTACCCAGAAACCAAATTGGCTAGTTACATGGGAAAAATTTGGTTCTAGTCCCACAGCAAATCCTACAGCACTCTGGGTGAAATGTCAGAAGACAGAAGGAGCGTCAGAATTATTTGAATCATATCCAGTATTAGAGTCATTTTCTGGATTCCCAAGGAAGAGATGAAATGATCGGCCTTTGCCTAAAATTGCTGGAGTAAGGCACAACTCAATGGCCTGATTTGACACAGAAAAGCTGTGCCGAGAAAGTGCTAATTCCAACCCTCAAGTCTTAGTTCAGCACATGTCAGTGGTCACAAACTGGGGATGGTATTCTTTGGGAACCACTGGCTTTTAGGATGTAGACCAGAATTTTCTCTTATCACAAACACACAGCCAAAGACATGAAATCAACCCAACGGACTCACACAACCCTAAGGCTACGGAAGAGGCAGCTTCTAGGAATCAATAGTGGGTGTGGCTCAGCTTTCCCCCCACACGGCCGAATGGATCTATTTGGCCCGAGACCCACAGGGTCCAAATACTTACATATAAATTCATCTGAAAAGGTGAGGCTGAGAAGGAGCCAGAACGATAAAGCTGTCTGTTCTCCTTGCCCAGACAGGTCAAGACCATTAGAAAGGATAACAGTCTCCTATCAAATGCAGGCAGAGAAGGATCTGTAGTAGTTCCATCGTAAATAACAGCAATTTGCACTTCAGAAGAATGTCACATAGCCAGATGTCCTATCTGTTCAAGGTAGATTAGGACTCAGATGAGGAACAGTGTAAGGTAAGGAAGTAGGGGTAGGACTCTAGCTAAAGAGGGAGGTTTTCCTTACTTCTTCCTGTGGTCCATTTCATCCTGAACATACCCAGCTGGAAGATGCCCTTTATCCTGCAGTGTTCTGGCTAAGATCAAGCCTATCCCTGTTAGGGTTAGTTCATGGAAGCCCTAGCCCTACAGAAAAAGCAGACTATAATTGTAGTTTTTTATTTTTTTGTTTTTGTTTTTGTTTTTGTTTTTTTTTTAGGAAAATGATTCTCAGAAGCCACAGTGGCTCTTTACATTTCTTGTGTTAATTCTTCTTTGGGTGACAGACACAAACACATTCCTCTTCCCACTTCCAAAGGAGGACACAACTTGGGGTCTTTCTTCAAAGACTTTTCTAACTAACTCTATTCACTGATGAGGGACCTATCCTTTAAAAAGTTCCAGGCACTTTTCTTTCAGCTACTAATGTCAGTAAGGAACTTTCTGCCTAAATAAAAGTATGTTATTATTTATCCTCTTTTTAAGACAAAAGAAATCTCCAAAATCCATGGAGTACTTAGTTTGTTCTACTTAACCTAGTAGAGTAGTAGTAGTACCGGCAGTGTATGTATGTATGTATATGCATATGTACATATGTATATATACATACACACACACACACACACAGATACATATATACACGTTTCATTTTAAAAATTCAATAAATAATCAGCCAAATGGGGCTGGTCCTCCGTTTTGACCCAGAGTTCTGAGGCACTTCCCAGGGCAGCCCAAGTCTTGGTAACTGACTTCTGGAGCCTGCCGAAGTGGATGCAAAGAGCTGGGCTGGAGCTGTAAATTTTTGCCACCATATTTCTATGAACTTTATCCCTTTTGTTTATTCAGGAAGTCACCAATATCCAGGTAGTCAAAGAGCTGGGAAAGAAGGGAAGGGTGGGCGTGTGTAACTGGCTAAATCCAGAGGTCCTTGGTGAGGACACATTTAACAGGATGCAGACTCAGAGCACCAACCAGAAAAGTGCCCTCGTCACAGCTTGCTGGCTGATCTGTGTGAGATGGTGGTGCCTTTCTCAAGATGGAACGTTCTACCCTACCACAACGCACCCGCCCATGGGAGGACCTCTGCTATAGCAGAGGACATTGATCTACCCCATGGGAGAGTAAAGGACAAAATGTGGCCCGTGGCAAATTTTAAAGTACCTCTTGGTAAGTCCTGTCACAGCAAAACAGTTTTCAAATGAGCATTTCAGTTAGATATGCGTTATTATGGATTTTTTTTTCCCTCAGAAAACCCCAAGTCTCTTCCTAGTGAAAGGAATCAGAGGCTCCTAGAATTTTCCTAGGCATCAATTGCCTATCAATAAAGAAAAACTCAAATCAAAGCTCAACCTCTTTCTGAAGGGTCTGCTGTCAGTCATGTCATGAAGGTTTAAGTGGAAACGGGGAAGACATTCAATAAAATATTTATGCTCTCTTACCATTAGCATCTTGGACTCCAGTAAGTGCTCCGACAGCTGCTGCGGTTTCCCCAGACAAGACGATCTGTCCCCCTCCTTGCAAGGTAGCCTCGGCCAGTGTGGCGACAGCATGGGCGGCGGCTTCGCTGTGGGCACAGGAACAGGAGAGGGGGACGTGTAAGTTGGATAAAGGTACAGCACTGCAGCAAGACACACCATCCTTCCAACCCTTCCTTGGATCTCTCTACTGACTCCATGGGTATGAGCCTACCAGCGAATACTGGAGTCCACTGCTGCTGGGGAGAGCCAGGGGAATTTTTAAATGGTAACAGTAAGTAGCTAGAGAAACCCCAAGTCTTACAGATTTAAAGAGCTAATGTGAGATTTTCTTTAAATCTAGGAAACGGGTGTTTGAGGACAGAAGGCACTCACTGCCAGTGGAAGGTATGATCCACATTGACAGCGCAAAAGCCTGTCTGGTTGGTAATTACAAGGTTTTCTTGTTCTCTTTTCTCTTTATGGCAACACTAGGCAGATTACCTAAAACTGCCCTTTTGGGGACATTCACTTTCGAATGTCCCCTCTCTGTAAAGAGAGCTTTCATACTATTCTTCCTTTCTGATCTTGTCTCCAATAAACTTTTGCCTGCTGCTCAAAAAAACCCAAACAGACAAAACAAAAACTACCCTTTTGTAGCCGAGGATGACAGTACGAGGAGTCAACAACGTGGACCGGCTATTCAATTAATATTAAATAGTAACAATGTGGTTTATATGCGCGACTTCAAGTACAAAGTAATGGCTAACACCCTAACATCCTGCAAAGTCTAGGTGTTCTCTTTGCCTCACTATACCTGTGGGCAGTGCTAAATTAAGGCTTGAAATTTTAAATGATCACCATAAGCCCAAACTCCCAGCCTCTAGAAACACAAAGAAACAATAAAATCTCCCTTCCTTGCAAACACTTTGCAGAATAGAAAGGTATTAACCATCTGTTTATAGTGAGCACTATTCTGGCAGTTTGTATCCTATTTTCCTTTCTTCTTGTGATATGCTGGTCCCAAATGCACAAATACCATTTTTATTGATTCTATGATACCACAAACTAAAAATGCACCATTATTTTATGTGCCAGCAAGCAAGGAAAAAAAAAAAAAAAGCCTGACAATTGTAGTACTGTGGTTTACCATTCAAATTTCAGAGATGTTAAAATGTGAAAGCAGCAGAAATTCAGCACCTCTCCTGGGAAAGTGTCAGCTCCCACTCGGCACGATTCCTGAAGGAGTATCAAACGTGGGCTCAGAGTGGAGGAGGTGGTGTCATTTAGTTTAGCAGGGGGGGGGGCAAAGGCCTGGATTTGACACCAAATAAGCCAGATGAATAAGCTTTGCTCTGAGTTGCAGACTTTGCCTAACTCTGGCAGGCACGCTTCGTGGTCACAAGCTGTAGGCGGGGTTGGGTGAGGGACTGTGGACTGGTTAGGGTAGACGTGTCCTGACTATGGGCAAAGCAACATGTACCACACTCAGTAGCGTCACTTTCACTTAAGAAAGCCAGCAGACAAGTAAAGCAACTGACACTCTCATTTCCCTGGGGGAATAGAAGGATTCTAGGAAGCAAAGAAACCCAATGGATAGAATAGTCTCATTAAATAGAATATTCCCACTCTCTTTCTAACTTGACTTAATTTTTATGTCTGTGTTCAAGCTATCTTTTTCTGATAATAAAATACATGCGGGAGGCTTGTAAAAATTTCATTAAGTGTAAAAGAAACTTTAAAAATATCAGACATAAGTTATTTCCTTCTAATCTTAAATACAGCTTTAAACAGCTAATAATGAGGATTACACTTACTGCTACAGTTTTATAGCTTGCTTTTTTCACCTAACATTGTTTCCCCATGTAAACATTCCGACCTTTATTCAAAATAATAAATAAATTAAAATTGCTGATCCCCCTGCTTTTTTTCCTAGTCATTTATCTGTGGCAACTTTTAATTTCCAGGCTTCCTTTGACTTAGTTCAAGGTTATAGTTATATATTACAAATTTATTTGCTTCCTTTATAAATATTATATAAACTTATAATAGTTGTGAATAATATTTATATTATATATTTATTATATATTTTTATATATTTGCAAAAAATACAAATATATATATATATATTTTTTTTAAGTAATCTCCACACCCACTGTGGGGCTCGAACTCATAACCCCAAGATCAAGAGTCCCATGCTCCCCTGAGTCAGCCAGGCGCCCCCATTCATAAACATTTGGGGACTGAGCCTGAGCAAAAAGCTCACCAGTCATGGAGTGCACGTGCAGTCCGTAAAAATTAAGATCACCCTCCACTCAGAGGCACACTTCTTGGTGATGTGATGTCCAAAGCCAGTCATTCCATGGTATCTATAACATGAATTTAGAACTAAAGGGGACCTTTGATCTGGAATTCCTATCAAGGCTATTCTTTACACTTTACATGGTAGACTTTAATTTCAAAGTCCTTCAAGAGTTTTTATTAGATATAGTAAAATGAGTGATGATTTAGTGTCTACATCCTTAATCTTTAATATTTTTCTAAGAAACTTATGTCAAATAACACTACCAGCCAAGTTTACAGTACCCAGGTGTCATTGATTAATGACAAAAATATTTCATACTCTGGCCTGAGACTTCCTAGAAAGCTGAAGAGTCTGTTCTTTCCGAAAAGCTGCAGCAGTGTGGTATTTGCAAGAAGGAAGCTGTATATGAAAACTGCTTATATGGAAATACCATCTTTGTTTACACGTTACCTCGGTGACTGTTCATTCCCCAGTTTTTATCACAATGTGTATAATTTTATTTCTGTGACCATCAAAGGTGACGTCCTGCCAGTCTTGGAACTCCTGGACACGTGTTTGAGGTCCTTTTTTCTTTTTCTTTCCTTTTTCAAATTTTTTACATTTATTTATTTTTTGAGAGACACAGAGAGACAGAGCACAAGCTGGGGAGGGGCAGAGAGAGGAGACACAGAATCTGAAGCAGGCTCTGAGCCGTCAGCACAGAGCCTGATGCGGGGCTCGAACTCACAAACCGTAAGATCATGACCTGAGCCGAAGTCGGATGCTTAACCGACTGAGCCACCCAGGTGCCCCGAGGTCATTTTCTTTAACAACTTTCTAAAATATGTTTGGTAGAAGAAAGGCTGTGAACGAGCACAACCCTAGTGCAACCTGGGAGCAGCAGTCCAAGGGGGATGACAGGCCCATAGGCCAGTGAGGTTAGTTATTTCATCGGCTGCCAGAGGCCAGAGGCAAAGCAGCGAGGGAGGGATCTTTTCCATGGGAGCATAAAGACAACTGTGACTTCTGTGGTCAGCAGGCCTTCATTTCCAAATCTACTTTAAAACCGCTGACACGAGATTTCATGGAGAGAGGGCAAACTTACTGCTAGAAAAAGATGACCTTTAACTTCTAAGATGAAGAGGGATGAAAAGGGCTTTAAGCTACCGCTTCACAAGTTTTTGACAAATAGGTCTAATTTTAAGTCAATAGTACTTTCATTTAAAAAAAAAAACAGTAAATTTTTCCTCAAAAATATGATTCACTTTTTTTTTTGAACCCAGTGTCTTCACAGCAAAAGAAAAGCAACTCTAAGTTCTGGAACAAGAGGACTCAATGCGAGCCTTTGCTTTCCCATAGCGCCGAGTCACAGGAGACGGTAAAAATTGTCTTCGTGTCGACAGCACAGCGTCAATTTCTACTAGAGCAAATGTAGACTCAGTCTATGAATACTTATCATGTATCTGTATATGCAAGGGCTGTACTGACTTAAATTTACTTGTTTAAAAGGGAATATAAATCCAGGACAGTTTAACCAACACACTGAAACATCAAATTAATCTTTTTATCGCAACAAATCACATGATGATTTCACTTCCTTTCCCCTCTGGTTGTTTGGCCGAATACTTTTTTTTTTTTCCCAGCTGTAATGCTCTGCACTTCATTTGTTCATTTTGATTCTCTCCCCATCTCCTTTCTATAAATGCTGATTTATATGTATTTTGAAAATAATTAAAAAAGTAACCAGTTTCCACATTTTTTAATGACTGTTTCTCCATACCTCTTTGGATTATTTATAATGCCAGGGTGGGCTGTTTGAGCCCGGGGCCCTTGTTCCGACTTGTTACACAAAACTCTTTTAAACAGCGTGGCTGAAAAACAGGTCTGTCCTGCATCTGTCCTTATCCCCATCTCCCCTCCAACAGGTGAAGGAGCTCCTCTGTCTTCTCATTCCCCACCTGCCATGCTGTGCGGCTTCCCTCTCTCCCCTCACTCTGTGCCCACATCTGCCGCTTACGGCGCAGCGGAGGGCAGGTGATCAGTAAAGAACCATGCTTGTTCCAACCGCACCTGAAAGAGGCTAGAAGGAACCAGCGCTAAGAAATCACTTTGTTACCATGGGAACAAAGGCTGGATTTCTCAGTGTAGTTCTAAGATAATTTCCAGCAACAAATTCTGTGGTGAGGCTGGGAGTATCATCTCGTCCCACAAAGCAGCAAACACCAAGGGTGTGTGTCTTAAGTCCAAACTTCCTGCCACTGGCCAGTGGGTTACCTCTCTTGGAATCAGAAAGCCCCTAGTAGCCTGCTATAGTCTAGTCTTCGTTGCCAGGCTTGGTTTCTTCACCCCCAGCAGAGGCTGCAAAACACCATCCCCCAACACTCACTGGGTTCTGAACTGATTGCAAACAGATTTCAACATCTTTACTCCTCCTACGTGCCACAGTGAACCATGTTCTCCTTCCTTTGGAGTAAACACTATAGCCACCGCAGCTGCATCTGAGTTTGTTAACAAGCCCTCAGGGGAAACCATTACTCTCTTTGCCTTTAGAAATAAGCCCTGCTCCTTACACTAAAGGGAGCCAGAATGGGCCTCATATTTTCCACTATGTGTAGGGTTCCCAGGACACTCACACTTCACTGGAATATCCAAGGTGCTGGCTCAATGAAATCAAGTTTTGCTGGTCTTTAATGGTTAGGCTCCATGCCACAGTAAGGGGTTACCAGGCCAGAGGGAGGTTCCTACCCTGGCCATGGCTTTTTTAGGAAGTTTATTTGTGGTCCTTTCTCAAGGGAGTGGGGTTGGGCCAAAGTGTAAGGGCTCAAATAAGATTTTCACGTTATTGAAAAGCCACATGGTTCAATGGGCTAAGAAAAAGAGTTTCAATCCCAGGTCACTTAGAGTACCCCTGGGTGAGTGCATGTGTGTGTGCGTGTGTGTGTGTGTGTGTGCACACACGCGCGCTCGTGCACTCCATACCTAATCAACCACCAAGTCTGGCCACACTCCCTTCAAACTCACTTTTCCGCCACTCTTACTACTTTAGTTTCCAAGTCTTTAACAAATCACCTGGTCCGCCTCTTCCTAACTGACCTTCTATTGCTAATCTGTTCTCATTATAAGCAATTCTGAATACACAAAATTGAAAATACAACTTAAATGATAACCCTCGGGTGCCTGGCTGGCTTAGTTGGTAGAGCATGTGACTCTTGGTCTTGGGGTTGTGAGTTTGTGCCCCACGTTGGGTGTAGCGATTACTTTAAAATAAAACCGTAAAAAAATGAAAAATACATGGTAACTGTAATTCCTGAAGTGCTAACTAGGGGCTGTGTACTTCAATGAGAGTTTTATTTACATCATCTCCATGAAACTTTTTTAATTCCATATGATGAGAATTAGCCTTATAATGATGAGGAAACCAAGGCCTAGGGGTTAAATTTCTCAAGATCAAATGGCTAGTAAGTGGCAGAGCTAGAATTCGAACCTGAATCTATGTGACCTCAGAACCTTCTTCTCAGCCACCCATACTATACAGCCACACGGAAGTCATTTGCGCGTCAGCTTATCGAGGCTTTCTAGTTATTTATCACAACCAATCTAAACTTCGGCTGACTCTTCTCTTTTGGAGGAGGTGATCCCCTTCCTCTGAATTTCTGCAGTGCTCGTGGTGTGTACTACATGATTCAACAGTGCATTAAATTCTGAGGAATAGTGTTCACTGACTGTTTTACTTAAGTCAATTTCCCCAGTGTTAATAACATGACTTCTTTGAGGGCAGGCATGGTATCTTAGAGCGCTGTTTATTTACAACCTTACCTAGCAGAGTGCAGGCATGTCCTAAGAGTTCAGTGACTGTCTGAGACTAACAACAGCTGCTGCACATAATGGTGGCAGCAGACCTACCGTATGCCAGGCACTGATCTACGGATCTCGCACGCATTGGCTTTCTCAGTTCTCACAACACCCCTACCCAACAGGGGCAGCTGCTGTTTTTATCCCCATTTTACAGGAGAGGAAAGCCTGGGCACTGAATTCAAGTAAATTATCCAAGGTCAAACAGCTAAGTGGGTGATGGAGTTGTAGTTTAAACCCAGATTGTCTGGCTTCAAGGCCCACACTCTTAAATATTGGTTAAAATGCCTGGGTCCGCTGGAAAATAAAATTATGTCCGCAATGAAGAAGAAAAAGAATGATGTGGGGATAATCTTTTCTGTCAACAGAACCAACAGAAGGAAACCAAGCAGGGAACAATATAATTTAGTTTTGGAAACTCTCAATCACTGGAGTGTCCCATTCTGCAGCACCCTTCCTAAACATCCCTGAAAAGAAATATTTCAATGGTTTTTCCCAGTAAGCCAAAACTGATTTCAGAAAGTCACTGATAAGGAAAACATTTCCTGGAAAGTCAGTAAAATCAGCTCTCAACATGGATTAAATGGATTAATGTCCCTAACAAAAAGTAGTTTCAGGGTGACTGGGTGGCTCAGTCAGTTAAGCATCCAACTTCGGCTCAGGTCCTGATCTCACGGTTCGTGGGTTTGAGCCCTGCGTCGGGCTCCGTGCTGAAAGCTCGGAGCCTGGAGCCTGCTTCGGATTCTGTGTCTCCTTCTCTCTGTCCCTTCCCCGCTCACTGTTTCTGTC